GGACCTGGTGGCTTGAAAAACACACCAGGTGTGTGTGTGTGTGTGTGTGTGTGTGTGTGTGTGCATGCCCAAAATCCCAAGAGAATAGAGAAAAAGGGATTGCGGTGTGGCCTCTCACTTTCTCTCTCTCCTACAAATACATGTGCGCTATGGGAAAAATCTGGAAAAAAAAAAAGAAAAAGAGTGGTATGCTTGCCAGAGAGTGAGAAAACGCACCCCCCGGCTGGGCGTGGTCATGTCACAGTCTCTTCTCCACTTCTCTGTCTTGGGGGGATTTCGCACACACATGCACCGGCACGTTTTCAATTTACCGGAGCCGGGATTTGAACAGCGTGGTGGGCCATGGGGGACCTGGCTTCCTGAACCACTAGGCTACAGGGCTGGCCTTAAATAAGCTTTAAGTACAGCAAACATGACAGCAGTGAAAGCCTGGGGTGGGCTGAGCAGGGCCTGACCTTTCAGGCTGTCAGTAAATATTTACTGACTCTCTGTGACACGCTGCAGACTGAGAGTCTGCCTCCCGTCATCTTTTCTTTGGTTCATGCAGTGTTGTCCCTCATGATATTTTCAGTTTCGTTTTCCAGTGGAGGAAGTTGTCAAGAAAAAAATAACAGGAGGGCTCTTTTAAAAAATCAGAATAACGAGTGACCAGCAGTTAGTGTAATGGCTATGTCGCTGGATTCCCACGTAGTCGACCGCGGTTCGTGTCCCGGACCCGGTGGCTTAAAACTCACGCCGGGTGCGTGTGCGTGCGTGCCCAAGATCCCCAGAGGAGAAATGAGGAGAAGGGATTGCGGCGTGGCCATCCCCCCTGGGGGGTGATTTCTCGCTTTCTGTCTCTCTGTCTCTCTCTGTCTGTCTGGCAAGCGCACGTGCCCTATAGCAAAAACCTCCAAAAAAAAAAAAAAAATCAGAATAACGAGTCTTAATTCTTGGGTGGTGACAACTTGAGGTTGCACCCTGAGATAATGATAAGTGTTTTTTTTTTTTAATTTTATTCACTTATTTATTTTAATTTGACCAGAGAAAGTGGGGGGAGGGGAGTGAGAAAGCAAGCTGCCAGGTCCAGGACTCGAACTGCGGTTGGCCATGTGGGAGTCCAGCACCCCTAACCACTATGCCACCTGCTGGTCTGATAAGTGGTTATTAAGCACATGCTGTGAGCCAGCCCCTGTTCTAGGTGGTTGATTGACTAATCGATTGATATATTAATTGCTCGAGGGCACAGGCACTCACCAGAGAGAGACAGAGAGACAGAGAGGGAGAAAGCATGGTCACACCATGATCCCTTCTCCTTCATTTTTCTATCCTGCCAGGATTTGGGGCATGCTCACCCCTTGCCCAGTGTTTTTCAAGTGGCTAGAGCTGGGATTCAAACTACGCAGTGAGGTCCAGCTTCTCTAACCATCAGGCCGTGGGACCTGTCCTCTTTTTGGAGATTGCTTGAGCTTAGGGTACCGGAACTAAAATTGTTTATATAGATAAGTTCATATCAGGAGATATTTATCCAGGGCTCCCTACATGCATGGTACACAGCATTAATTTATTTAATCCTCACAATTTACATTTTAATTTCTTCATTCATTTATTATTATTATTATTATTATTTGCTATGGATGGCTTGCACTTCCCAGAGAGAGAGAGGGAGGGAGTGAGAAATCATTCCCTGGCAGGATGGCCACCCTTCACACCCTTCAATCCCTTCTCTGTTCTTCTCTTGGGATTGTGGGCATGCACGCACATGCACCCGGTGTGATTTTCAAGGCACTGCATTCAGCATTTGAACTGTGCAGCTGGCCATGGGGGATCCAGTCACCTTAACCTACATGCTACTTGCTGGCCCCCGTCATTTATTTTCATTGCCAGAAGATGGGTATGCTCACTAAAGAGACAGAGAGTGGGGGAAGAAAGCACCCCCAATGGGGCAGTGCCTTCTCTACTTTCCACCCCGTCGTGGATACATGCCTAGAGTGTTTTCTTTTTCTTTCTCTCTCTCTTTCTCTCTTTCTTATTTTATTTGACTTTATTTATTTATTTATTTTTAATTTGACCAGAGAGGAACAGAGAGAGAGAAAAGTGAGAAGGCAAGCTGCCAGGTCCAGGATGTGAACCATAGTCAGCCATGTAGGAGTCCAGCACCTTAACCACCATGCCACCTGCCAGCCCTCTTGTTTAAAAAATTAATATTTATTTAATTTTATTTATCATTATTATTTTTTAGTTTGCTACAGGGCTCATGTGCTCATCAGAGGGAGAAAGAGAGAACGAGAGGGAAAGTGAGAAAGCAAAGCAAACCATCAGGTCTGGGACTTGAACTGCAGTCAGCCATGTGGGAGTCCAGCTCCTTAACCACCATACCACCTTCTGGCCCCTCTTTTTTTTTTTTTTTTGAGAGATTTTCACTGTAGGGCGTGGGCGCTCGCCAGACAGACAGAGAGAGACATAGAGACAGAAAGCGAGAAATCACCCCCCAGGGGGGATAGTCACTTCTCCTCCATTCTCCTCTCGGGATCTTGGGCACGCACGCACACGTGCCCGGCGTGAGTTTTAAGCCACCGGGTCCGGGACACGAACCGCGGTCGACTACGTGGGAATCCAGCGACATAGCCATTACGCTAACTGCTGGTTCCCTCTTTTTTTTTTTTTTAGAGAGATTTTTGCTATAGGGCACAGGAGCTTGTCGGAGAGACAGAGAAAGCGATAAATCACCCTTCCCCACCCCTCAAGGGATGGCCACGCCATAGTCCTTTCCCCTCCATTTTCCTCTCAGGAATTTGGGCATGTACTCGCATGCACACACCCAGTGTAAGTTCCAAGCTGCCGGATTCAGGACTTGAACTGTAGTCAACCATGTGGGAGTCCAGTTTGACAGAACTATTAGGGCCATGTGTTGGTCCCCTGGAGTGTTTTTCAAGCCACTGGTGTTGGGACTAGAACTGCAGTCAGCTATGTGGGATCTGGCACCCTTAACCAGTAGGCTAGGGCTAGACCTATTTGTGAGGTTCATGCTTTTCGCATCCCCACTTTACCAAGGAGGAACTGAGACCTTCAGAGGCAGGGTTCTGAGTAATATGCCCCAGGGTGTGCTGCTCATACTGGGGGGTGAGGTGGGAAGGAGCCAGGGAGACACACGGGTCACAGCCACACCCTCCACAGGTGGCCAAGCAAGAGGAGTTCTTCAACCTGTCCCACTGCCAGCTGGTGACCCTCATCAGCCGGGATGACCTGAACGTGCGCTGCGAGTCCGAGGTCTTCCACGCCTGCATCAACTGGGTCAAGTACGACTGCGAGCAGCGGCGCTTCTACGTGCAGGCGCTGCTGCGGGCCGTGCGCTGCCACTCGCTCACGCCCCATTTCCTGCAGATGCAGCTGCAGAAGTGCGAGATCCTGCAGTCTGACTCGCGCTGCAAGGACTACCTGGTCAAGATCTTCCAGGACCTCACCCTGCACAAGCCCACGCAGGTGATGCCCTGCCGGGCGCCCAAGGTGGGCCGGCTCATCTACACCGCCGGGGGCTACTTCCGGCAGTCCCTCAGTTACCTGGAGGCCTACAACCCCAGTGACGGCACGTGGCTCCGGCTGGCTGACCTGCAGGTGCCTCGCAGCGGCCTGGCGGGCTGTGTGGTGGGCGGGCTGCTGTACGCCGTCGGCGGCCGCAACAACTCGCCCGATGGCAACACTGACTCCAACGCCCTGGACTGCTACAATCCCATGACCAACCAGTGGTCGCCCTGTGCCCCGATGAGCGTGCCGCGCAACCGCATCGGGGTCGGGGTCATCGACGGGCACATATACGCGGTGGGCGGCTCCCACGGCTGCATCCACCACAACAGCGTGGAGAGGTGAGTGGCAGGGCCTGGAGGGTGGGCTCCAGGGGTCCTGCTACTGACCCGTCCCAGGCAGGTGGGATCTGGGGATTCTCCTTGATGTGGCAGTCCTGTCTTCGCTCCCCGCCTTCAAGAAGTAGGAGCCTCAGGCCAACCCCGTGGCCTACTGGTTGAGTGAGTCAGGTCCCACATGGCGGGTCACAGAATTCACCCCCAGCCCCAGCAGGGAAAAGACACACCCGGCATGTGTGGGATGGAGATCTGAAGGAAAAGGCATTGACATGACCATACTCCATGGGGTGGGGGCTTTCTTCTCTCTCTCCAGCCAGCCCACGTGCCCTCTGAGAAAAAAAAAATTTTGAATCTGTTTTTTATTTTTAAATAATTATTAGTTTAATTATTTATTTATTTATTCATTCATTTATTTTTAATTTGACCAGAGAGAGAGAGAAAGACAGAGATGGAAAGTGAGAAAGCAAGCCATCAGGTCCGGGACTCGAACTGTGGTCAGCCACATGCAAATGTCCAGCGCCTTAACCATCACATCACCTGCTGGTCCCAGAAAAAAAAATTTAAAGAATTATTTAATTACCTATCTATCTATCTATCTATCTATTTATTTATTTAAATTTGACCAGAGAGGGACAGAGAGAGAGAGAAAGCAAGTGGCCAGGTTTGGGACTCAAACTGCACCCATATGGGAGTCCAGCATCTCAAACCACCATGCCACCTGCCGGCTTCCCCCGCCCTCAAAGTTTTTTTTGTTTGTTTTTTTTTTTGGAGAGGTTTATGCTATAGGGTGCATGTACTCGCCAGAGAGACAGAAAGCAAGAAGTCATCCCTCAGGAGAGATGGCCATGCTGCAATCCCTTCTCTTTTCTCCTCCGGGATCTTGGGCACGCATGCACACGCGCCTGGCGTCAGTTTAAGCCGCCGAGTCGGGGATTCATACCACAGTCAACTACATGGGAGTCCAGTGACATAGCCATTACACTAACTGCTGGTCCTGCCCTCTGACAAAATTTAAAAGAAGAAGAAAAAGAATAAGTAGAAGCTTCAAAGTGAAGCTAAATTCTTGGGAGATTTATTTTATTTATTTAATTATTTTGAGAGATTTTTGCTATAGGGTATGTGTGCTCACTAGAGAGACAGAAAGGGAGAAATCACCCCCCAGGGAGGATGACCATGCCGCAATCTCTTCTCCATTCTGGTCTCGGGATCTTGGGCATGCACGCACATATGCCCAGTGTGAGTTTCCTAAGCTGCCGGGTCCAGGATTTGAATCACAGTCAGTCCAGAGATGTAACCATGTTATCATCTGCTGGTCCCCTCCTGGGAGATTTATAATCAGTGACCTTGGATGGGGCTAGGAACTGCTTTTAGGACTGTCACAGACCCTTACAAATCCTCACAGAAGTACTTATTTGATGCAGTTTTATTAACTACAGGGATTTACATAACTGATTTTTCACACCTAAACATAATAGTCCAGGGGACCAGCAGGTGGCATGGTGATTAAGGCGCTGGACACTACCATACGGCCAACCACGGTTCAAGTCCTGGACCTGATGGCTTGCTTTCTCACTTTCTCTCTCGCTCTCTCTCTCTCTCTCTGTATCTCTCTCGGGTCAAATTTAAAATAAACGAATGAATAAATAAAATAGAATAAATAATTGAAAAAGATAACAGCCCATATCCTCTATTAAAGTCATTATTGTTTTTGCAGAATTACTGTATTTACTTTATTTATTTTATTTTGACCAGAGAGAGACAGAGCAAGAGAGAGAGAGCTAGAAAGTTAGAAAGCAAGCTGCCAGATCTGGGACTTGAACCATGGTCAGACACATGGGAATCCAGCACCCTTAACCACCATGCCACCTGCTGGCCCAAAAAGTCATTATCATAATTTCAGATTATTTGTAATTTCAGTAAATAAAATAGATTTATAAAGATATCAACATTTTTTCCTCATTCATCAGAAGCCTTAAGTAGAGCAGATTTCTACTTTTCTAAATTTTGCTGTAGGGTGCCTGTGCTTGCTGGAGAAGGAGAGGAAAGTGAGAAATCAGCCCCCATGGGGGAAGCCTATGCCACTGTCCCTTCTCCATTCTCCTCTCAGGATTTTGAGCATGTAGGCACACACTCCTGTTGTGTTTTTCAAGCTGCTGAGTCTGGGACTCAATCACACTGTCAGCCATGTGGGATCCGGCTGCCTTAACTACCACGCTCACTACCTGGCTGACTTCGCTTTCTTCTTATACTTGTCTACAAGTCCTTTTTCTGAAAAAAAATAAATAAATAAATAAAATAAAAAATTTTTTTTTTTGGAGAGTTTTTTTTTTTTTTTTTTTTCACTATAGGGGGCATGCGCTCGCCAGACAGGCAGAGAGAGACATAGAGACAGAAAGCGAGAAATCACCCCCCAGGGGGGGTGGCCACGCCGCAATCCCTTCTCCTCCATTCTCCTCTCAGGATCTTGGGCAGGCACGCACATGAGTCCAGCGTGAGTTTTAAACCACCGGGTCCGGGACGTGAACTGCAGTCAACTACGTGGGAGTTCAGTGACATAGCCATTACGCTAACTGCTGGTTCCCAACAAATTATTTTATTTAACTATTTATTTACTGATTTATCCACTCATTTATTTTTAACTTGACTAGAGAGGGACAGTGCAAGAGAATGAGAGAGAGAGGGAAATTGAGAAAGCAAGCCACCAGGTCTGGGACTCGAACTATGGTCGACCATGTGGGAGTCCAGCATCCTTAATCACCATGTCACCTGCCAGCCACCTGCAATGTTAATTTTTTTTTAAAGGAAATTTTTAAAAAATAATTATTTCTTGGGTCCAGCAGTTCAAAGGAGGGCAACACATTAGAAGGACAAAATATAATATCCAAAGGGATTTTGGCACCAACAGTGTTATCTATAGCAAGAAAGATAAGCAGTTTGTTCCAACTGATGAGATTTCCAAAAGACTACAGAGAGCCAAGACAATGTCAAAGAAAAAAATATATATATATTTCTTATTTAACTTTATTTATTAATTATTTTAATTTGACCAGAGAGGGACATAGAGAGAGAGAGAAGGAAAGTCAGAAACAAGCTGCCAGGTCCAGGACTTGAACTGCAGTCGGCCATGTGGGAGTCTAGCACCCTTAACCACCATGCCACCTGCTGGCCCCTGCAATCTTTCTCATATTTTCCAAGAGATCTTCAGACATGCAGTCTTCATACTCTCTGTCAACTTCATTTTTTTGTTTAAAGAATTATTTAAGTTTATTTATTTTTATTATTTTTAATTTGCTATAGAGTACTTGTCCTCATCAGAGAGAAACAGAGAAGGAAGGAAAGTGAGAAAGCACCCCCGACTGGGTCCAGGACTTGAACTGCAGTAGGCCATTTGAGAGTCTAGCACCTTAACCAACACACCACCTGCTGGCCCCTCTCCTCAACTTTAATACCTGCTCCTGGGATGTTTCTCCATAGAGCCTACATGTGTAGCGATCAACACTAAAAGACACTGTAAGCTGCTTCCTACATTTCGTCATTCTTCAGTTGTGGTCTACACAGCTAGGTGGTATTCCTTCTGAACAGCTTCTAATTCATCCATAGCTTCTCTCAGACCCTTGTTAACAGCACTGACTGGCACCACCAGTTGGCCTAATGGCAAACTCTCTAAACCTTTTTTTTTTTTTTTTTAAGAATTACTTTATTTATTTTATTTATGTACTTATGTTTTAATCTGACCAGAGAGGGACAGAAAGAGACAAAGACAGAGAGTGAGAGAGAGAGAGAGAAGAGAAGAGAGGGAAAGTGAGAAAGCAAGCTACCAGGTCTGGGACTTGAACTGTGGCCGGCCATGTGGGAGTCCAGTGCCCTTAATCACCACACTACCTGCTGGCCCCCCTAAGCCTGTTTTTTAAATTAAGAGGTTTGTTTGTTGACTGATTGATTGATTGGAGAGGTTTTTGCTATAGGGCACATGTGCTCACCAGAAAGACAGAGAGAGAAAGACAGAAAGAGAGAAATCACCCCTCAGGGGGGATGGCCACGCCACAATCCCTTCTCCTCCATTCTCCTCTCGGGAGCTTTGGCACGCATGCACACGCGCCCGGCATGAGTCTACACCACTAGGTCCAGGACTCGAACTGCGGTCAACTACTTGGGAGTTCAGCGACATAGCCATTACACCAACTGCTGGTCCCAAGTTAAGAGGTTTATTAATTTCTTCTTCAAGGACCAGCAGGTAGAATGGTATGGTTAAGGCGCTAGACTCTCACATGGCTGAGCACGGTTCAAGTCCCGGACCTGGTGGCTTGCTTTCTCACTTTCTCTCTCTCTCTGATCAAATTAAAATAAAAGAAATAATCAATAAAATAAAATAATTCTTTTAAAAAAATAAGTAAAATATTTCTTCTTCAGTTTCGCTCAGTTCACTGAAAGGTACATAAACTTGAGCTCTGTATTTGACAAAGCAGTTGGCCACAGCATTAAACTTAATTTCCTTTTTCTTTCTTTTTTTTCAGAGAGATTTTTGATATAGGGTGCATGTGCTTGCCAGAGAGACAGAGACAGACATTTGGCCACGCCACATGTGCCCCCTGGCCAGCCCACGTGGGGGTGATTTCTCACTTTCCTTTCCCACTGTATCTCTCTCCAGCGAATGCATACACCCTATGGCAAAAATCTAAAACAAAAAACCCCTCACTGCCATCTGCCCCCAAGCTGTCATAATACCGATGTTTATAGTCTTTGGTATAGAGGGTACTCTGTAGAGGTTTCCTCGTGCAGTGCACAACCTGCAGAGCTGTGCGTGGTGACCCTGAGTTTAGAGGCTAAGAATTCTAGGGGCTGGACCGTTAGGTCGCCTATTCCTCTACCTTGTTTTCTCCCAGAAGTGTAATACAGGATACAGTTCTTACCTGTATCTACCTCTGGAGATGCCAGAGATCTGGAGTCTGGACTCAGAACAAGGATGGAGAAAGAACTTTAAGCAAATGACCTAGAGGTGTCTAATGTTCGTGGCCTGTGAATTCCTATTCACAGGTGAACAGGAACATCGCCATCTCACCTTCACTGGTTTGATGACGCATTACCCTCCTCAGGTTCCTTTTTTTGTTTTAAATTGCCAGAGGACATGTACACGCTCCAGAAACATGGAGAGACAGAGATTGAGAGAGAAAACAGTCCCCAGTGCGGTGTGGTCGTGCCGCAATCCCTTCTCCATTTCTTCCTCTTTTTAAATTTTTTTCCTTTTAAAGTATTTTTCTGGACCAGCAGTTAGTGTAATGGCTATGTAGCTGGACTCCCATGTAGTTGACCGCAGTTCAAGACCCAGACCCGGGAGCTTAAAACTCACGCTGGGCGCATGTGCATGCGTGCCCAAGATCCCAAGAGGAGAATGGAGAAGGGACTGCAGCGTGGCCATCCCCCTCACCCCCTGGGTGAGTGATTTCCTGCTTTCTGTCTCTCTCTCTCTGTCTTTCTGGTGAGCACACGTGACCTATAGCAAAAACCTTTCCAAAAAAAATTTTCTTTTCATTTTTGTAGAGGGTGCATTTGCTTGCTTGAAAGAGAAACAGAGGGAAAGTTAGTAAGCAACCCCCTCCCCCCATGATGAATGGTCACATGACAATCCGCTCTCCATTTTCTCTTTCTGTTAAGAGTTTGGTCACGCATGCCACACCCAGTCAGTATGTTTTTCAAGCCACTGAGTTCAGTATTCAAACCACACAGTTGACCATGTGACATCCAGCCTCAACCACCACATCACTGGCTGGCCCCCTTCTCCTCCATTTCTCCATCCTGACGGGACTTGGGGGACACATGCATACACACGTGGTGCGTTGTTCCAGCCACTGAGGCCTGATTTGAACTGTGGTCAGCCATGTGAGATCCAGTTTCCTTAACTACCAGTCTACGGGGCCAGCCTTCCCCACCTTTTTAGAGTCTGTTTCTAACCCTGAGCAACAGAGATGGAAACAGCACAGGGTATGGCCATGCCGTGATCCCCGTCATCCAGGCCTCCAGTCTGTCGGGTTCTGGGCATTCCTATCCATGTCCAGTGGGTTTCAGGCTGACCAGGCCAGGGATCTGAACCATAGTTGCCAAGTGGGATCTGACTTCTCTTGGGCAATACAATACTGCTACACCACAGAGCCAGCCCTTGGTGCAAAAAAATTATGAAATCCATGCATAGTTTTTTTCATAACATGCATTTTCAGGGCCAGCAAGGTGGCATGGTGGTTAAGGTGTTGGACTACCACATGATCCACAGCCTTTCGGGTCCCAGAACTGGCAGCTTGCTTTCTCACTTTCTCTCACTCTTGCCCTGTCTTTCTCTGTCAAATTAAAATAATAATAATAATAATAAATAGAATTGAACGAAATAATTCTTTAAAAAATATGCATTTTCTATTAACTTTTTGAAGACCCCTATCATAAAAGCCTTGTGAAGTCTCAGGCCTTCTATGACGGCCAGCTTCGGTTGCTGTTGTCACCATTGTTGTCATGCTCTTGCAGGTATGAGCCAGAGCGGGACGAGTGGCACTTGGTGGCCCCGATGCTGACGCGGAGGATCGGGGTGGGAGTTGCTGTCCTCAATCGCCTGCTCTATGCGGTTGGGGGCTTCGATGGGACGAACCGCCTGAATTCAGCCGAGTGTTACTACCCAGAGAGGAATGAGTGGCGAATGATCACACCCATGAACACCATTCGGAGTGGGGCAGGTGGGTGGGGACTGCAGGGACGGGAGCGTCCAGGTAAACCCCTGCCCCATACCCCGTAGCGGGGTGAACCCAGCTCAGGATGGATGGGGGCCTCCTGTTTCAACCCTCCACCATGTGGCCCACATAGAAGAGCTGGATTCCGACAGACACCAAACTTCTGTCTCCCACTTTCAGCTTTGTTTCTGACGGGTCCCTCATGTACAGGGAGAAGGGAGAGAGGGAGGGCCCACTCAAGAAGGCAGTGGCAGGGGCCCCTACGGCCGGGCCCCAGTGTCACCCTCTCTGCATGGTGCGGTTTAGGAGTCTGCGTCCTGCACAACTGCATCTATGCTGCGGGGGGCTACGACGGTCAGGACCAGCTGAACAGTGTGGAGCGCTACGATGTAGAGACAGAGACATGGAATTTTGTAGCCCCCATGAAACATCGCCGAAGTGCTCTCGGGATTACCGTGCACCAGGGAAGAATCTACGTCCTCGGTGAGGCCCTGGGGGGTGGGGACTGGGTGGAGAAGAGTCTTGACTCGCCCCATCTACTGGGAATAGGGGGCTGGTCTTGCTGTCAAACCCAGCAAGAAGGCTTCTCTTTCTTAAAGTGGCTTTAAAAAAAAAAAAAAAAAAAGGTTTATGCCATAGGACATGTGTGCTCTCCAGAGACAGAGACAGAGGGAAAGTGAGAAATCACTCCTCCAGAGGGGATGACCATTCTGTAATACCCTCTCCTCCATTCTCCTCTTAGAATTTTAGGCACATACACACATGCACCTGGTGTGACATTCAAGCTCCTGAGTCCCGTAGGCAACCATGTGGGAGTTCAGAGCCTTAATCACCATGCTAAAGTTTTTAAAACCTTTGTTTTACTTTATTTTTGTAATCGCCAGAGGAGGTATGTGCTCATCAGAGAGACAAAAAGAACGCCTCAATGGGACATGGTCTCGTCACAATCCCTTTTCCTCCTGTGAGGACTTTGGGCATGCATACAAGCACACTTCATGTGTTTTTCAAGTTGCCAGGGATGGGATTCGAACTGTGTTTGGCAGTGTGAGATCTGGCTCCTTTAACTACCAGGCCATGGAGCCGGTCTGAGATTTACTTTGCTCTTGATACTGAAGACTTGTGATGCACAAAACAGAGAAAGGGCGGGCATTTACCCCTAGCAGGGACTCATGAGGCGCCGATCCCTTCCCTAGTCCTCCAGCGTGTCTGGGTCTTAGGTACCTGCATGTATACCTAGTATGTTTTTAGGTTTACCCTGGGATCCAAACCCGCATCGGCCATGTGACCTCCAACACTGCAGTTCAGTTTGCTACTGACTGTACTACCAGCTTGGGCTAGAGGGCTTCTTTCTTTCCTTTCAGTTTTTGCTATAGGATGCATGTGCTTACCAGGATAAGTAGAGATAGAGAGAGAAAGCAAGAAATCACTGCCTCAGGGCAGATGGTCACACTGCCATCCCTTCTCCACCAAGTCCCCTTTTGGGCTTTTGGGCATGCATATGCATGCCTGGTATGATTTTCAAGCAACCAGGTCTGGGGCTTGAACCATGCAGTCAGCCTTGTGGGATCCAGCACCTAAACTTCCGCACCACTTGCTGGTCAAAGGATTTTCTAAATAATAATAGTAATAATTAAAATCTTTGCCAGAAGGCAAGTACACTCTCTGGAGAAACACAGAGAGAGAGAGAGAGAGAGAGAGAGTAAAAGCACCCCCTCCCTCCCCCCAATTGAGGCCTGGCCATGCCACAATCCCTTCTCCATTTCTCCTTTTGGGAGTTTGGACATGCACGCACACACCAGCATATTTTCAGGCCCCTGGGTCTGGGACTCGATCACTTAGTTACTCATGTGAGATCCAGTTGCCTTAACCACCATGCTACCTGCTAGCCCTGTTATTATTATTATTTAGGTTTTCTTTTAGATTATTTTTACCTTTTTTTTTTTTTTAGAGGTTTTCGCTATAGGGCGCGTGCGCTCGCCAGACAGAGAGAGACATAGAGACAGAAAGCGAGAAATCACCCCCCAGGGGGGACGGTCACGCCGCAATCCCTTCTCCTCCATTCTCCTCTTGGGATCTTGGGCACGCACGCACACGTGCCCAGCGTGAGTTTAAGCCACCGGGTCCGGGACGCAAACCGCAGTCGACTACATGGGAGTCCAGCGACATAGCCATTACGCTAACTGCTGGTTCCCATAGATTATTTTTACCATAGGGTTTTGTGCACTGCTGGATAGAGGGAGACAGAGAGAGAAGTGAGAAATCACCTCCTAGAGAGATGACCATACCTAATCTCTTCTCCTCCGTTCTCCTTTCAAGATTGTTGGCACACATGCACATGTGCCTGGCATGTTTTTCAGGCTGCTGAGTCTAGGACTCTTAACTACAGAATCAGCCGTGTAGGATCCAGCACCTTCACCTCTATGCCACCTGCTGGCTCTCTAATTATTTTTTTTTTTAAGAATTATTTTATTTAACTTTATTTTAATTTGACCAGAGAGAGACAGAGCAAGAGAGTGAGTGAGAAAGCATGCCTCCAGATCCAGGACTTGAATCAGGGTTGGCCATGTGGGTGTCCAGTGCCCTTAACCACCATGCCACCTGCTGGCCCTGACCCTATTATTATTTTTTTTTAAAAAGAATTATTTAGTTGTATTTATTCATTCATTTATTTTAATTTGACCAGAGAGAGAGAGAGAGGACATGAGAAAGCAAGACACCAGATCCAGGACTTAAACTGTGGTCGGCAACTGTGGTCGGCCATGTGGGAGTATCCAGCACCTTAACCACCACGCCACCTGCTGGTCATCAAAATTATTTACTTAATTCCATTTGTTATTGTTATTCTTATTCAATTTGACCAGAGACACAGAGAGAGAAAGGGAAAGTGAGAAAGCAAGCTGCCAGGTCTGGGACTTGAACCACGGACAGGCATATGGGAGTCCAGCGCCTCAACCACCATACCACTTGCCAGCCCCCAACCCTATTATTGTTTTTGTTTTTTTTTTTAAAGAATTATTTAACTTTATTTATTTATTTAATTTGACCAGAGAGAGACAGAGCAAGAGAGAGAAAGTGAGAAAGCAAGCCACGAGGTCCAGGACTAGAACCACAGTCGGCCACGTGGGAGTCCAGTGCCTTTAACCACCGCACCACCTGACGGCCCCAACCCTATTATTTTTCACTGGCAGAGGGTACGTGTATTTGTTAGAATGGGAAGGAGAAAGAAAACACCTCCTCCTCCCCAGCACGGTGTGGTCACACCACAGTCCCTTTTCCATCCCTTCCTCCTGTCTGGATTTGGGGCACGCATGCATATGTACCCAGTGTATTTTTGTATTTTTCAAGCCACCCGTCTGGGATTTGAACGGTCACCCATGTGGGATCTGGCTTCCAATGCACAGCATGTTCATTGCCTGCACTATTAGGCTGCCCCAGGAAGGCTCTTCAGAATTGTTTCCTCCTCTTTCTTTCCCCTGGCCTTGGAGGTGGTGTGACCACTGACCATCCCCTCTGTTCTCCCTGCAGGAGGCTATGACGGCCACACGTTCTTGGACAGTGTGGAGTGTTACGACCCTGACACAGACACATGGAGTGAGGTGACCCGCATGACGTCCGGCCGCAGTGGGGTGGGTGTGGCCGTCACCATGGAACCCTGCCGGAAGCAGATCGACCAACAGAACTGCACCTGTTGAGCCACTTTTGTTTCTTTGGCAAAAAAAAAAAAAAAAAAAAAAGAAAGAAACAGTCCCATTGAAAGTATTGTTTTTTTGTACAAAAATAGGGACAGAAGAAAAGGCAACAGAGCAAATACTCATCCTCCAGGAAGGGAGGCCAGGATGCCTCAGTGTTAATCTGATGACTCAAAAGAAGGCCAAAGGGAACCTATGAACACCTCCCAGACATCCCAGGAATATCTGAGACAGCCTGCCTGGGAGGGACACGTGCAAAGAGTGGGCTCCCAGGAGAGAGGCCACCACATCTACTGGCTAGAGACTAGCCTGGGGCCCACATCAGCAGCTGCCATCTCCCTCGGAGGCAAAGCAGGTGCCCAGCTCAGCCTGGTTTCTGGAGACTTGGGATGGAGCTGAACGAGGCCCCAGAGGTTCAGGCCCCTCTGGAAGTGTGGTCCCCTGGATTGAGCCTGTACATAGAAGCCACTGGATATTTCTGCCCTGGACTTCATTTTGTTGAGAAGTAACCCTGTAACTTTCCAATGAAAATAAAGAACAAACTAACGAGTGTCTTCCACCCGGTCTGGCAGCTGGAGGTCTTAGTCCCAGGGCCAGAATGGGCACTTCTCCAGGAATATGTTCAAGTCTCCGATTTGGGGTTCATGTTTGAAACTGGTGTGTTATCTGTGTCCATCACGTTTTGCTATGTAGGGCATCTTTCTTCCTGCAGGCAAGTCGCCATGCAATTACCTGGGTGGTTTTTTTTTTTTTTGGTTGTTTTGTTTTTGCAAGAGGGCATATAAGCTCAACAGAGAGAGACAGAGACAGAGAGAGAAGGAGGAAGCATTCCCTAAGGGGAATGGTCACACTGCAATCCCTTCTCCTCTACCTCCCCCTCCGTTTGCATTTCTGGGCACTCATGCACACATGCCGTGTGTTTCACAAGCCACGGAGTCTGGGACTCAAACCTCAAGGTTGGCCATGTGGGATCCAGCTGTGCTAACCATTAGGCCACTTAGCTGGCCCAAGCCACATAACTGTCGATCCATTTCAGCAGCTTCAGAAGACAATGACTTTGGCACATCTCCTAGGGTTCCCCAAGTTTGATTTCATACTCATATGGAGTCCTGAAGTGTAAGGAGTTTATTTCTGTTTATTTCTCACATGAGAGCAAAAGAGAGAGAAAGCAAGCACCCAACAGGGCCCGGTCACACTATAATCCTTTATCCTCCAATTAGTCATCCTGTCACGCACCCCTGGGCAGACATGCAGGTGCCCGGTGTGTTTCCCGAGCCATGGCTGACTCAGACTTGGGTCAGCCATGTGTGATTTGGCGTCCTCTAAATAGTACTTAACCACTAAAGTATGGGGCCGGACTCCTGGCAGCCAGTTTATTATTTTATTACTACTATTATTATTTAGTTTGTTATAGAGTGTGTGCACCCGCTGGAGAGAGAGGGGGGAAAGTGAGAACTCACCCCTCAGGGAGAATGGCCACACTGCAACCCCTTTTCCTTTCTCTTAGGATTTTGGGCATGCCTGCAAACTTGTGTATTTCAAGTCATCAGCTCAGGGGACCAGCAGTTAGCGTAATGGCTATGTCGCTGGACTCCCATGTAGTCAACCGTGGTTCGAGTCGTGGACCCGGTGGCTTAAACTCGGGCACGTGTGCGTGTGTGCCCAAGATCCCGAGAGGAGAAAGGGATTGTGGCGTGGCCATCCCCCTGGGGGGGTGATTTCTAGCTCTTTTCTGTCTCTCTGTCTCTCTCTTTCTGGTGAGCACATGCTCCCTATAGTAAAAACCTCTCCAAAAAATAAAAACACAAATCATCAGCTCAGGGACTTGAACTGTGCAGTTAGCCATGTGGGATTCAGCTGCCTTCATCACCACACCATGGGCCAACCCCTTCTTTTCTTTTGTTGGTCCGGTACTCAAACTGTGGTCAGCCGTGTGGGAGTCCAACGCCCTTAACCACCATGCCATCTGCAGGCTCCAATTTATTTATTTTAATTTGAATATAGACGGCCAGAGTGAGAAAGAGGAGAGAAGGAGCGTGAGAAAGCAAGCCACCAGGGCCAGGACTCCTAACTACGGTCCGCTATGAGGGGATCCAGCTCCTTAACCACCACACCACATGCCGGCCCTCCTTTTTTCTTTTCTTTTTTTACGTTTTAGCTATAGGGCATGTGTGCTCATCAGAGAAAATGAGAAATTACCCCCTAGAGGGAATGGCATACATACGTCTAATTTTCATGCCGCTGGGTCCAGGACTCAGGCTGCAGTCAGCCATGTGGGATCTAGCACCTTAACCTCCATGCCATCTGCTGGCCCCCTTTTCTCTTTTAAAAATTTTCCCTTGGACTAGAAAGAGACCACACTCCCACGAGGGTCCTGATGGCATGATCTACTCCCAGCCTCAGCGAGCCCTGGATCATAGTATGTGCACACATGATATACTCAGGGAGGCCTCTGGACATGAACCCACACTCTTCCATGTGCATGAGCCTCACAAAGCTTTGTGTTTTACCACTGTGCTGCCCACCCAGTCTCTAGATCTTTTGTCTTCGTCATTTCCTTCTCTCTTTAAATTTTGCCAGAGGATGTGGGCATTCAACAGAGAAAGTGATACAGAGGGAAAGTGAGAAAGCACCTCCCCATAAAGGATGATCACATTGAAATCTTTTCTTCCATTTCTCCTTTTGGAATTTTGGTCATGCACACGTGCATAAACCCCAGTATGTTTCGCAAGCTGCCTGGTCTGGGACTTGAACCACATAGTCGGCCCTGTGGGATCCAGCTACCACACCACCTGCTGGCCCTATATGTCTTTTTAGATAGGGTCTCACTGTGTCTTACTGTGTCGAGAGCCTCCTGACTTAGCCTCTATAGTAGCCTGGAGTATAGAGACATCCATGGTGCCCAGCTTTTAGGGTGGGCTGGGAATTGAACCCGGGCTTCTTATGTGATTTCAGCCTGCTTAGTGACAGCATCAACCAGCATATGGACCATATGCTGCAGCATCCGCTGCAGCTGGACCTAAATGTAGTATTATTGACTAAAAATGAGGTAAGTTCTGGAAATCTAAAATGCTAACGATAGGCAAAAGTGTCTATGTTGTTTAAAGTTAGAATGTGGTAACCTGACAACACAGGGATTTATCTGTGTGGCTTAAAATCTCTCACTGGCTGCTGTTACCTATGAAATCTGTACTTCTAACCAACCCGCCTGTCTTACCTTAGGATAGTTTTGCAGCTCAGGAAGAAGCCCGGCTGCTACAGGAGGTTCCCTCTAAATAGAGTGTACCGCCCTCTTGTGGGCATCTGAGTGAAAAGAGGAACTGTGTACCATATTTCCAGGGAAGTGAGAAAAGGAACAGGAGTGCACAAGCTTGTTCCTATTTTTAAATGAAATCAAACTGCAAATACATTCAAGAAGCTCCCCATTTAAAGAACTATCCCAGTGCAACCCCCAGCACCATAACTACAACCAGAGTTCTAACTTTGATTATATTACACCGCATTTTAAGCAGGGCAGCCAGAACTCAGACTACACATGCCAGGATCCTCCAGGATTTGATCAGCTATCCTACATCGGTTTGGTGGGAAAATTGAAACTGAGAAGTCAGCCTGGTGCTTTGCCTTTACTTTTTTTTTTCTTTTGGAGAGGTTTTTGCTATAGGGTGCATGCACTAGCCAGAAATAGAGAGACAGAGAGAGAGAAAGTGAGAAATCAGCCCCCCAAGAGGGATGGTCACACCACAATCCCTTCTCCTCCATTCTCCTCTCAGGATCTTGGGCACGCATGCACACACGCTCAGCATGAGTTTAAGCCACCAGGTCCAGGACTCGAACCACAGTCGGCTACATGGGAGTCCAGCGACATAGCCATTATGCTAACTGCTGGTCCCACTCTTTGCCTTTACTTGCTCTCAGCTTCAGTGTCAGGAAAGATGAATAATATATGCCAAAAAGTTGGTGAGGTCTATTGGCTGTGGAGTCTCTCTTTTTATTTTATTTTATTTTTTTTTTTTGAGAGGTTTTTGCTATAGGGTGAGTGCGCTCACTGGAAAGAGAGAGAGAGACAGAGAAAGCGAGAAATCATCCCCTGGGGGAATGGCCATGCCACAATCCCTTCTCCTCCATTATCCTCTCGGGATCTTGGGCACGCATACACACGCATCCGGTGTGAGTTTAGCCATGGGGTCCAGGACTCGAACCGCGGTCAACTACATGGGAGTCCAGTGACACAGCCATTACACTAACTGCTGGTCCCTCTCATTTTTTTAAATATAAAAATATTTAAATGTATTTATTCATTTATTATTATTTTTAATTCTACCAGAGAGGGAAAGGGTGAGAGAGAGAAAGGAAGTGAGAAAGCAAGCCACCAGGTCCAGGACTCAAACCACAGTCGGCCACGTGGAAGTCCTGCACCCTCAACCACCATGCAACATGCTGGCCCCTGAAGTCTCTCATTTTTACACCACATCTTCTCCACACTCATCACACTTCACACAGTCTCTCAGTTCCTTCAAAGTATTAGACTGTTTCTGACCTCAGGGCCTTGGCATATGCTTTTTTTTGAGAGAGAGATATTTTTGCTATAGGGTGCCTGTGCTTACCAGAGAGACAGAGACAAGGAGAAAGTAAGAAATCTCCAGGGGGGATGGCCACACTGCAATCCCACCTCCATTCTCCTCTCAGGATCTTGGACATGCACACACATGCATCCAGCATGAGTTTTAAGCCACCTGGTCCAGGACTTGAACTGCAGTGGACTATATGGTGGTCCGGCGATGTAACCATTACTCTATCTGCTGGTCTCCTTGGCATATGCCGCCCTCGCTGCCTGGAACACTCATGCCCCAGCCCTTATTTATTTACTGTTTTGTAATTTACCAGAGGGTGTCGGCACTCGTTGGAGGGAGAGGGAGAGGGAGAGAGTGAGAAAGCACTCCTAAGGGGGTTGGTCATGCTGCAATCCCTTCGCCATTTCTCCCACGTTTTGGGATTTGGGGCATACAAGTATACATCCACATGCCTTGTTTCTCAAGCTCTCAGATTCAGGACTGCAACTGCAAGGTCAGACACGTGGGTTCCATCTGCCTTAACCACCATGCCACTGGCTTGGCCTCAGCATGTTTTTCAAACCACTGGAGCCTGGATTTGAACCATAGTTGGCCATGTGGGGTATGGCTCCTTTAACTAGTAGGTGATGGGGGCTGGCTCTTGTTCACCGTTTATAAACATTTTTATTTATTTATTTTACAGAAAGAAAGACAGGTACCCACAACAGGGTCCTTAGGTGGAGATCTAACCAGTCAGATTATAGGCACATGTGCACCTGGCTTGTACAAAGAGGCCCCGGGACATGAACCCAGGACCTTCCCCTGTCAATCCAGTTGCACTGACACTTCACTACCAACTGGCCCCTTGTTCACACCTAGGACCCTGATTCCCAATAGGGGCCTCACTCATATCTGAATACTAAGTGTACAAATTCTTCGTCACAATGGCAATACAATAAATGTGTGGGACTGAATGAAACTAGCATATCTTCCTGAAGCTTCTCCAAAG